AAGAACAGTTCTTTACCCATCAAATCCAGATTACTATTTCAAAGAAAGGATTTCTGAGTTTCTAGTTGCTCCAGTCACATAAGCATCTCATAAACTTTTTTTTAGTTCTTTTATTGGCCATTCAAGCTGTCTCCAGAGAAATCCTTAAACTTAATTCTCTACTGTATCCTGCTACTTTCATTGCCATTATGTTAAGAAATGATGTATTGATATGACTAAATTTCATAAGGAATAAATGAACTTTACTTAATTTGTTTATCGTCATTACATCTTTTTTTTGTAATATTCACCATTCAGTTCAAGCATAATACTTTTTTCATACCATTGTTACTTCTTTCAACCAAGGTAGGGTGACCCCCCAAAAAAAGGAAAAATATTTAGACATTTATTTAATAACTGTCTTACCAGAATTGTGTGGACATAACATTTCAAATGAGCCTCCAAACTGCAGCAAATAGCTCATCTTTCATTGATTTTTTCAGATTTAGAACAAATGTGAGTTTCTTCATTTAAATACAGTCTTGTATAATTATCTATACTCTTCATTTGCAGGTATACATTTTTGTTCCAGTTGTAATTGTAAGTTCTGCAGTTTTGCACACAGTATGATAAGTGTGATAAAGAACTAAGTGAAAGCTAAGATTTTGTTAAAAGATTGTTTAAGAGATAACTTTATATTAGCTGTATTACCATTTCTTTACAAACCTTAGTGATTTAAAATCAGCACTCATAATGAAAGTACTGCACATATCACATGTTCAAAATATGGATATTATTTAAAGTAAACCCATCGGTAAGTCTTGTATGATACTGCACCTAATTATGTATCTTACAGATCATGTGTATAAAACTGCTGAAAATGATGACATGCATAAACATAAAGGAGAACAAATATTTTTTTTTTATTATCACACTGGCCGATTCCCACCAAGGCAGGGTGGCCCAAAAAAGAAAAACTTCACCATCATTCACTCCATCACTGTCTTGCCAGAAGGGTGCTTTACACTACAGTTTTTAAACTGCAACATTAACACCCTTCCTTCAGAGTGCAGGCACTGTACTTCCCATCTCCAGGACTCAAGTCCTGGACTCAAGTCCTGGACTCAAGTCTTTTCAACACTCCAGCCGTCTCCCACTGAGGCAGGGCATCCCAAGAAAGAAAGAAACACTTTCACCATTATTCAACACTTTCACCATTATTCACACATAATCACTGTCTGTGTAGAGGTGCCCAGATATGACACTTTAGATATCACTCCACAGTCTATATCTCAAATCCCTCTCTTAAAGTGCAGGCATTGATTGTACTTCCTCCCTCCAGGACTCAAGTCCAGCTAACTGGTTTCCCTGAATCCCTTCACAAAATATTACCCTCCTCACACTCCAACAGCTTGTCAGGTCCCAAAAACCATTCATCTCCATTCATTCTTATCTAACATGCTCACACACACCTGCTGTATGTCCAGGCCCCTTGCACACAAAACCTCTTTTTACCCCTTCCCTCCATCCTTTCCTAGGATAAACCCTACCTCTCCTCTCTTCCACTACAGATTTATACACCCTCCAAGTCATTCTATTTTGCTCCATCCTCTCCAAATGACCAAACCACCTCAATAACTTTTCTTCAACCCTCTGAATAATACTTTTTGTAACTCCACACCTCCTCCTAATTTCCACACTGCAAATTCTCTGCATAATATTTACACCACACATTGCCCTTAGACACAACATCTCCACTGCCTCGAGCCTCCTCCTTGCTGCAGCATTCACAACCCATGCTTCACACTCATATAAGAGTGTTGGTACCACTATGCTTTTGTACATTCCCTTCTTTGCCTACATGGATAACATTTTTTATCTTCACAGACACCTCAATGCACCACTCACCTTTTTTCCTTCATCAGTTCTGTGGTTAACCTCATCTTTCATAAACCCATCTGCTGACATTATTAATGTTTAACTTAATTTATAATGAAATATAAAAGCTTTTAGGAAATATTTTTTGAATTGTGAAAGACAATGAACTGTAACCCACTGACTTCTTGCCACTCCACTCTGCCACCCTCATCATACTAGTTCATTGAATTTAAATCATTATTACCAGTAATACTATGAACTGGATATTGTATCATACATTGCTGTTGACACGGACGCCAGTCATTACGTGCTTTCCTGTACTCGTCATAAATAGATATAGGGAAGAAGTCAAGTATTAGACTAGTAATTTCAGTAAGGCTGGTCGCTCTTGATATCAAAGAAAATTTTGGAATTAAAAATCTGCTACCGAATTTTGACAGAAGTCATGTAAAAGAAAGAAGTGAAACCCATTAGATGTAACAGGATTCTTTGTAGGGATGGTGCAGCTTATAGCAATTAATGGTACTGAAGAAGAATTAGTGTTATGCAGTAAATTGGAATGGAATTTTTGAGACTTGGATGAAGTGCTCAGATAGTGAAGTTCGTGAATGAGAGATACAATTTTGTTAAGTCTGTTGTCATTACAGTACAGTATACCTATGTAATGAAGAGAGATTTGGAGATGACTTTAAGAGTACGTATGCATGATGATAAGGTAAATAGATAAGATAAGATAAGGTTTTATTCGGATTTTTAGCCCCAGAAGGTTAGCCACCCAGGATAACCCAAGAAAGTCAGTGCATCATCGAGGACTATCTAACTTATTTCCATTGGGGTCCTCAATCTTGTCCCCCAGGATGCAACCCACACCAGTCGACTAACACCCAGGTACCTATTTGCTGCTAGGTGAACAGGACAACAGGCATAAGGAAACGTGTCGAAATGTTTCCACCCGCCCGGAATTGAACCCGGGCCCTCAGTGTGTGAAGTGGGAGCTTTAGCCACCAGGCCAAAAGTTTAAAACAGTGAAGAAGAACATAAGATGTAATGGACTAGCCTTGCTGTACTTTGGAAAAATGTATTATGATTAGGTATGGTCAAATAAGATATACTTTGTATGATAACAATTTCAAGTGATTCACTGCAGTGCAGTTGGTCAAAATTTCTTTATCTTCGAATTATGGCTTTAGAGTTTCATTGCCCTTGGTTCATGCATGACTTTTTAACCCTTAAACTGTCCAAACGTAGATTTACATTCGTTCACGTAGCTCTCCGAACGTAGATCTATGTTTTTTACATGCTTGCTTATAGAGAAAATCAAGGTCAGAGCGCTACGCACGCAAACGTAGATCTATGTTTGGGTAGTATAAGGGTTAACCCTTTGACTGTTGCAGGCCCCTTTCTGAAACTGCCATCCTATGTCGATAAATTTTTGGAAAAAAAAAATTATTTTTTCTTATGAAATGATAGAGAATCTTTTTCCAATGGTAATGACACCAAAAGTACGAAATTTGGTCGAAAACTCATGGAATTATGCTCCCGCGAAGCTAGCGGTCTCGGCGACATATACGCATCGGCGATTTCACCGACTATGAGATGTTTTTGGCCAATTCCGTTGTTTCCAGTTGACCAAACTCATAGCTATTTCTTTAGAACTCCATTTTTTCTTTCAGTTGAGTAAAAGAAACCGCCCATTTACCGATTTGAACTACCCAATAAAGTGGTCAGAAATTGACAATTTGGCCAATTTTATGCAAATTAAAAAAGATGCCAATTTCAAAATAGGGTCCATAATAAACAATGTAGACATTCTTGGCACTAAAATAACATATCCTCTGTTCATTAGTCACATCTCTAGGCCCCTCTTATATTACTATTGCTTTCTATTTTTTTTTATACAAAATTTACTGTTATGCAGACTACTGCATTATTGTAAAAATGGTATAAATAGTAAATAACAAAAAGGCACAATACCGTGACTGGAACGATACACAAATAACCCGCACATAAAAGACAGAAGCTTACGACGACGTTTCGGTCCGACTTGGACCATTGACAAAGTCACACTAACAGAGGAGGAGCAGGACGGCTATATATAGGCAGGATGAGGTGGAGGTAGTAGTAGTGGTAGTAGTAGTAGTAGTAGTAGTACAAGAATTGTATATAATACCGACAGGTATTATATACAATTCTTGTACTACTACTACTACTACTACTACCACTACTACTACCTCCACCTCATCCTGCCTATATATAGCCGTCCTGCTCCTCCTCTGTTAGTGTGACTTTGTCAATGGTCCAAGTCGGACCGAAACGTCGTCGTAAGCTTCTGTCTTTTATGTGCGGGTTATTTGTGTATGGTATAAATAGTATCAGTGCACTTAGTGAAAAAATATTAGACTCCCCAGTTGACGTGTATTGGACGTGTGGTGTGATTTGCTTACTCCTGAACATTGGTAAAATCAAACATTCCGCTACTTTGAGCTCAATTTCAAGGTTGTTTTCATCTCTATTTCTGTAATATGTTTTCCATTTTATCACCTGAGACCATGAAAACGAGAATACAACAATAAATACTATACGAAAATACACCTCAAAGTTGGCGTTTTAATTAAAAAAAACGGTCAGTTTTTTTTTTCTCATTACGCACTGCGTGCTGCAGGATTTTTTTTTATTTGGCGCACACTGACCACACAGACCCATTCTCTCACATGTGGGCCTACCAGCTTTCTCCCGCTTGATTTGAAGCCGCTAGAATTTACGCATATAAATACGTCAGAAACAGTGGCGCGTAAGACGTATATATACGACCGAAACAGTCAAAGGGTTAAATAAGCTGAAGTATAATTTTGCATGACATATAGGCCTATATTGTTGCATGCTAGTTTTGTATATGCACAAGAAATTTGTTACTTTTTTGTGACATATTGCATGAATATACAGTAAATGCAATATGCTGAATTGTTAGAATTTTTTTTTTACATAGTAAATAACCTTCCCAAAAGCCCTTAATAATGTCTCCTTCAACTCATGATTGGAATGTTTCCTTAAGAGAAAAGCCAGTATTGTACAGCAGTGACTGGTGTAAGAACAACATGTGTGTTTTTGTGATGTAATATTTTAGTCCAGTGTTACATTTTCAGGCCACCTTGACAAAGCATTCTCAGAGTGTGTGGCACTGAGCAAAATAACCAGAAACAGTCGAAAAGGCCCCCCTCCTGAGGTTCCACCTAGAGTGTCAGCTGCAGAGATAAATGGAACAGGTCACATACAGGAAAGAACCCTGGAGTGTGCTCGTCTGGTAGCAAATTGGCATCTACTTCGTGGTTCTCCAATAATTGCTGCATGTGCCTTGTTGGCTGTGGATGATGTGAAGGTATGGCAATTTTTTTTTACTACAGTTCTGTACAAATTTTTCTTCATTAGTCTAATCTGAATATGATTCATTTCGTAAGTAGGACTGGTTATTTTAACTTTTTATTAAAACAAATAAAATGAGAGGAATATGGTTTTTTATTTTTATTTATTATCACACTAGCTGATTCCCACCAAGGCAGGGTAGCCCGAAAAAGAAAAACTTTCACCATCATTCACTCCATCACTGTCTTGCCAGAAGGGTGCTTTACACTACAGTTTTTAAACTGCAACATTAACACCCCTCCTTCAGAGTGCAGGCACTGTACTTCCCATCTCCAGGACTCAAGTCCGGCCTGCCGGTTTCCCTGAACCCCTTCATAAATGTTACTTTGCTCACACTCCAACAGCACGTCAAGTATTAAAACCATTTGTCTCCATTCACTCCTATCAAACACGCTCATGCATACCTGCTGGAAGTCCAAGCCCCTCGCACACAAAACCTCCTTTACCCCCTCTCTCCAACCTTGCCTAGGCCGACCCCTACCCCGCCTTCCTTCCACTACAGACTGATACACTCTTGAAGTCATTCTGTTTCGCTCCATTCTCTCTACATGTCCGAACCACCTCAACAACCCTTCCTCAGCCCTCTGGACAACAGTTTTGGTAATCCCGCACCTCCTCCTAACTTCCAAACTACGAATTCTCTGCATTATATTCACACCACACATTGCCCTCAGACATGACATCTCCACTGCCTCCAGCCTTCTCCTCGCTGCAACATTCATCACCCATGCTTCACACCCATATAAGAGCGTTGGTAAAACTATACTCTCATACATTCCCTCTTTGCCTCCAAGGACAAAGTTCTTTGTCTCCACAGACTCCTAAGTGCACCACTCACTCTTTTTCCTCATGGTTTTATATATTGCAAATCACTTACTAGTACCATCCGACTTATGACCGAGCTTGGTTCTGACCAACTTGTCATAAGTCAAAATGGATGCAAGTTGATCCTTAGAAAATTGCCAGCATACTGGGTAGGGCATAATGTCAAACCTTTGCTATATAAAGTAACTACATAATATCATATGTTACTTTTTACTAAATATTTTACTACTGTATATCAACATCACAGTTATTGTAATGAGGTCAGTGGTCACCTGCAGTCATACCTGCCTAAGCTCTTGGGAGTTAGCATGGGCTGTTACCAAGCACCATGGTGTGTTGTAGTGTTTTAGAATCTCAGGCTCAAGTGTTGAAGAAGGAGATTCTACTTCAGGAGGAAAATAGGAGGCTGAAGCTTCGCATAGATGAGTTTGGGAGTGAGTGTGAGAAGGATTTAGCTGGTAAGGTAGGAAGGGTCACCAGCAGTGATAGCGGCAGCCACTTTAAGTGGCAAGTGGTTCACAGTTCAGGAAGAAGGAAGATGAGGAGAGTTAATAGAGAAGATGTGAAGGTAGGAAATCGATTCTCTGTTCTCCAAGACGAGTGTACTTCAGTGGTTAGTGAGGTTGAAGGTACCACTGATTCCCCTGCTAATCAGGGTAAGAATATTTTAATAGTAGGCGATTCTCAGGTAAGATATATGGACCGTGCATTTTGTAACAGAGACAGAAAGTGTGGAGAAATTTTCTCCAGGAGGGGGGTATCAGCCCCCTTCAGCCCCCTTCAGCCCCCTTCAGCCCTCTCAGCCCTGAGGGGCCACTAGAAGGGGCGAGCATCTTGTTTACTGCTAGAGTGAGTAATTGATCACAGATGCCGTATGCGTGGTCAAATGACCTCTGCTCCTTGCAGTCCAGTGTTGCAAAGTGTATTTTTATAAGAGACAGTGCATCTCTTACTTTAGCAGGACAATTAAGGAAAATCCTACTCCCACTTTATTACCATAGTAAAGATAGTGCATTGTTGTCTATGATTAAGACAGCAAGAAACAAACATTCTGCTTTGCTTCATCGAGGAGGTGACAAGGATGCAAGGTACTAGGTCAGCGTTTTTTTTTGTGTGCTGGGGGCAGAGACGGCATGGAGCACTGTGGCGTCTGGCAGACTAACTTTGACTCTACTACGAGACACTGACGCCAGGATAACCAGCAAAGGACACTGATCTGTGCGTTAGTGTGAATAAAGTGTCTCACAAAACACAATAAACTCTTAAAGAAGTGTGATCAGCTTCTCTTGTGATACATTGTGAACAATAAAGACGAATCTTGTGGAACATAGTGTACCAGTGTGCGTTTCCTAGACAATGGAAGACGTGGACATCCAAAGACACTTCAGCTTCTATCAAGTCACCGATACCTGTCGAAGGTGTTGAGAACACCATAGCTCACGTTACAAAGAGCAAGGTATATTACGAATTTCTTGTAGATCGGGGGATTGCGCAATTCTTGAGTCACAAGGAGTTTGTAATCAACCTATAATCGGCAGTAAGGTGTGGACTTTTGAGTCCAAACAAGTAAGTATTCGTCAGCCATCATCAAATGAAATATGCTGACATAACACCCCCTAGGGAAATTTTATACTTACAAATTGTATCTCTTGACAGCCCACTGTTGTGATGGTTTCGACAGCTTCTAGACCTCGTCTGCAGGGGCGGCTGTGTAGACGATTTGCTGTCATTTATCAGCTAAGTGTTCATTATATATTTTTTTTTTTTTTTTTTCAACAAGTCTGCCGTCTCCCACCGAGGCAGGGTGACCCAAAAAAGAAAGAAAATCCCCAAAAAGAAAATACTTTCATCATCATTCAACACTTTCACCACACTCGCACATTATCACTGTTTTTGCAGAGGTGCTCAGAATACAACAGTCTAGAAGCATACACATATAAAGATACACAACATATCCCTCCAAACTGCCAATATCCCAAACCCCTCCTTTAAAGTGCAGGCATTGTACTTCCCATTTCCAGCAGGTAAGGCCAAATTCTCAACAGACTGGTCAGACAGAGAGTGTGTCTTCCTGGAGCTGGTGTTGGTAACATAGTCAGCAGGTTGGATAATATTATGGCAGGTAATGGGAACAAGCCCATTATCTGTCTTAGTGCTGGGGGTAATGACATTGGGAAGGGCAGGAGAGAGGAGCTGCTGGATAAGTACAGGTCAGCCATAGAAGTAGTTAGGTCTAAGGGAGGGATCCCAGTCATATGTAGCATCTTGCCTAGAAAGGGAGTGGGCAATGAATGGATGTCTAGGGCAATTGGTATAAATTGCTGGCTAGACAGGTACTGCAAGGAACTTGCAATCCCATTCATTGATAACTGGGACCTATTCTTTGGCAAACGTGATATGTATGCATGAGATGGGGTTGCATTAGCCAATTCAATTGAGAGGGTAATTGATGACTTGTCTAGGAATTTAAACTGATAGATTATAGAGGTATGGGTGTTTGTGGGAAACAATCAGGCTGCAGCATTAGGGTTAAAAACAGCAGTTATTACCAGGATATCTCAGGGATATGTTTAAAAGACAATATTCAAAATAAAGTTGCTAGTAATAGCAAATCAATTGGTCAACAAACAAAGAGAGATAGTAGAGGGCAACAAGTGACTAGCTCCCTTAAGGTTTACTATACAAATAGTAGGAGTCTAAGAAATAAGATAGATGAGCTAAAATTACTTGCAAGTGTAGGTAATATAAATATTATTGGTATAACAGAGACCTGGTTCAACCTGAAAGATAGAGAAATGCCTTCTGAATGCAACATACAGGGTTATAAAATATTCCACACTGATAGGGTCAACAGGAAGGGTGATGGTGTGGCAATGTATGTCAGAGAAAATTTAAATTGTTGTCTTAGACATGATATAAGATTAGAAACATCGAACACAGAATCTGGCTACAGTTTCTCGAGGGACGTGACAAATTAATTTTGGGTGTGATTTATAGGCCCCCAAACCTTGATAGGGAAGGCAGTAAGCTGTTATGGGACAAAATTCATAAGGCACCTAGATATGAAAATGTTATGATAATGGGAGATTTTAACTTAAGACAAATTGATTGGAACAATATGGCAGGAAATCTTGAGTCTAGTGACTTTCTTGATACGGTTCAGGATTGCTTTTTAGAACAGGTTGTTACAGAACCAACTAGAGGAAACAATCTGCTTGACTTGGTTCTTGCCAACAAAGATTCACTAATTAATAATCTTGAGGTTAATGATGAGCTTGGGGAAAGTGATCACAAATCACTTAGTTTCAATATATCATGGAATTACTTAGATAACTGCAATCAAATCTCTGTCCCAGATTTTCGTTTGGCCGACTTCATGGGACTGAAAAATTACCTGGGTGGGCTAAATTGGGATGTCCTGACTATGGATCAGGTAGGTGATCTTGGTTGCCAATATGACATTTTTCAGAGCATAGTTCTAGCTGCCCAGACAACTTTTGTTCCAATTAGGGAAATTAGGTCTAACAAAAATGATCCCAGATGGATGAACAATAGATTAAAACATCTCAAAAGAGGGGATGGGCAGTTAAGAAATCAGTATATTCAATTAAAGAGAGAAATAAAGAAAGGAATAAGAAAAGTAGAAAGGGATTATGAGGCTAAGGTCTCAAGGGATTCAAAGACTAACTCAAAAGGGTTCTTTCAGGTATACAGAAGTAAGATTAGGGACAAGATTGGCCCACTTAAGAGTAACTCTGGTCAGATCACTGACAGTGATAAAGATATGTGTGAAATTCTAAATACCTACTTCCTCTCAGTTTTCACCCAGGAAAATACTAGCAATATTCCTGAAATAATAGATTATGTAGAACAGGATGATAATAAACTATGTATGATTGCAGTAACTAGTGACATGGTCCTCAGACAAATAGAAAAACTAAAACCTAACAAATCCCAAGGTCCTGATGAACTGTTTGCAAGGGTGTTAAAGGAATGTAAAGAGGAACTTAGCATACCTTCGGCTAATCCTTTTAACATATCACTACAAACTGGCATAGTGCCTGATAAGTGGAAAATGGCAAATGTAATACCTATTTACAAGGCAGGTGACAGGTCCTTGGCTTCGAACTA